ATCCAAACAGACATAAAATACGGAGCTCTCACTCTCGGACTAGTTTCCGTATCTAAGTCGGTCACAACTCCACTTCACGTCTTGGCTGTATATCACTGTCTTGTCAGGCTAACTTCCAGACAACCACAATTAATCGGCAGATCGCCAACTTCCCACTTTCATTATAACTCAAAAATTCCCATCAAAATTAAACATCATGGCACCCTCCTGCACCGACTCATCAAAACCATTCTTAAGCAATTAGCTTAACTCAAGAAAATTCACTGCTCACGCCATCTAAGCTTGCAAAACACGTCCATCCCATCCAACACAATCCCAACTACTATCAACAAGAGATTAAGGGCGATTAGTTCCTCAATTTGTCAATAGACAGCCGAAAATCATGATGGGGTATAAATCATCTTTACCAAACTATAAGAGCGTTCAACCACACACTGAGCTACAACTCCACACTTGCAGCATCCTGGAGAAGCACAAGCTTATCCCCCACTTGAATCATTCTCACTCCTGCAGACAAAGGTTCCACAACAAAACATGTACCGACAGTGTTTTCACACACATGTCGCATACCAGGGAATACACAACATTAGACAACTTGGCCGGACGGACCGACCTACTCTGATACCACTAGTGTAACACCCCAATCTAACCCGACGGATAATTAAGGAAAACAGAATCAGAGTGCAACAAATTTTGTAAACATGACGGTCGTAAGGGGCTGTCACGACCGTGACGGTCAAGACGATCGTAATGAAGGTGTGACGACCGTCACATCAGCAAATTTTGGGCGTTACAATTTCAACTCACAGAAACATATATTTCACAATTTGCTCGTAGACAACATGCATTTAGTAATGATACATAGCACAGAAGCTTGGATGAACATACAACAATAACTTGATTAACATTCTGATTACAAGGCATCTTATTAATTTGCAGCGGAATATAAAACATTTCCAACATCTAGCATGATTAAAGCAAGACCATGAAACTTGCAACAAAACTCCATTAAAATTCAGCAAGTAATTATCTTGCATCAATTCAACATAAACAACGAGTTTCAACCATAAAAATCAACACTACCAATTCATCGGTATAGTGCATCTAACCAACATTTGGCACTTAACAGCAGCCATCAATTTAATTAAAAATGCTTGATAAAATTCAGCAACAAGGAAATTAAATACAAGCAATAACATCAATCGTTCATCCCCCCAAGAGTGCTACGTATCAGAGCGACCAACAACTTTAAACAAAAAGCTACACTTTATTTCGGATTACCTGCAAATTACCACCAACGGAGGTAACATACAACGTAAAGGGTGAGATATCAACAATATAACATAAGGCATGATAAAAGTCATGTCAGAATATTATCACAGCATTATAATTCCAGCAGTTCGCATAAATATTAGTAATAATTAAACTGCAACCACCCTTTATTCATAACCACAACAATTATCATCATATCTCAGCAACTCATCAAAACAACTCAATAACGCAACTCAACAATGCAACTCAACTGTGCATATGCATGTGGTACCATTTTGGGAGACAACACTCCACAATAATTCGGGAGACAACTCTCCACAATAATTCGGGAGACAACTCTCCACAATAATTCAGGAGACAACACTCCACAATAATTCGGGAGACAACTCTCCACAATAATTCGGGAGACAACTCTCCACAATCATTTTATTTTGTCACTAAAGACACAACCGTCGCCAATCCAAGCAATGATATGCTATGAGATGCAACTATTATGGACTATAACACAACAACAACAACTGTGCAACAACCGTGCAATAAGGCATCACGCCTACAACCAATTATCCATAACAGAAACATCACATTTCGCATACATCATGTACTCACCACTTCAATCTGTTCATATCAGAGAACTACCAACAGTATTGTTACTACGAATAAGACTCTAACACATTTTCATAGAGAACAATTAAAAACAACCTCGTCTCTACAATTGAGAACTCAACAACATTTTTATATACCTTCATACGGGTAATATAACTACAACTTACCCATATAATCCAAGGAGAATATTATAATAACATTTTCTCAACAGTGACATAACAACTTCATATGCATCAAGTATTCATCATTTCAATCTGTTCATGTAGAGGAACAATAACAACATACTTTCGACAATTAAGAATTCAGCACATTATTGTAAGAACAACATTATAACTTTTACTCACTAAATTAATTATAGTTCCTGAAAAGGTTCGTTAACTACGGGGCAACTAATTTTGCTTCATTAAGGGAAACCATACAACATTGTACAATACTAACGATATAACACATTCATTCCTACACAGAAAAACCTTGTCCCTAACATTTATCGAGTCACAGGAACTATATCTATGATTCGATTCCCTACCTGAAGTCGATCAAGTAAGAGCCTAATAACAACCTTTTTTCAACAAATGGGAAATTAGCGCGTGTCGGCGCCGATTCCCAACATTACTACATAAACTAATGACATAACCATTAATGCAGGCGTAGACAAACATTAACCCTTAATATTTCTCAATCTACGGAAACATTTACCCTTAATATTTTCTTAATATTTCTCAACCTACAGGAACATTTACGCTTAATATTCCCTTAATATTTCTCAACCTACAGGAACATCACTACGGGAACATTACCACGGGAATATCACTACGGGAACATTACTACGGTAACATCACTACGGGAACATTAATCCTTAATATTTCTTCAACTTACGGGAACAATACTCCTTAATATTTATCGATCTACAGGAACATTAATCCTTAATATTTATCGACCTACAGGAACATTAATCCTATGATTCAATTCCCTACATGAAATCCATCATACCCACAGTTATAGAATTGAACCCCACCATTACCTTTGGATTGAGGACAACTCTAAACTTCTGGTTCCGGTTTGCTCTCCCGGTGACTCTTCTGCAACTACCTTCAATTCTCTCCGGCCGTTAATTCTTCTGTTCTTCCTTTCTCCACAGCCACGCCCTTTTTCCTCTTTTCTCAGCCTTTTTCCTCCAATTTGTTTTTCTGAGCAGTTTATCGTTCTTTTACCCTTTCTCCCACAACTTCTCTAATAACTCCCTAATTCCCCTTATTCCATCCACTAATAATAATAATAATAATAATAATAATAATAATAATAATAATTATTATTATTATTATTATTATTATTATTATTATTATTATTATTATTATTATTATTATTATTATTATAATATTACTACTAGTTATTAAATTATCATCATTATTAATTATATTATATTATTATCAAACTCAATGATTTATTAAATGGTTTCATATACTTTAAGGACACTCACCAACGCTCTCAGACACACTCCCACATAAAGGCACACCAACAATTCATAAATAATTTAATTAAAATGAACGGGCGTTACAGTGCCTTCGCAAGAAAGGCTTTCTTATCTTCAATCCTTGGCTATAGATTCTGGAAAATTTTCACATAAATGATTGGCTCATTGATATTCTGAATTGTGGTGATTTGTTGAGTACACACGCCTCTGCTCTATCCTCTATAAGATCTGGAAGGCACGAAATGTGCTCATTTATCAGCATAAGATCAAGGATCCTGGGTGTGTGGCGGCAGAAGCTTTAGATTTTGTTTTGGAATTCAAGGATTTAAGCCCTGAAGCTAATATATTGAAGGGATCGAAGGCGTGTCCTGTGGAGTTGAAGGTTCCTGAGAAGATTAATTTGGTGCAAGTGGATGCAGACTGGCATTTGGAGGAGTTTGTGGCATTTGGTTGCATTGTCAAGAACCCAGAGAATGCCATTATCCTTGTGGCCAGCAGGAGAGAGACCTTTGTTGTTGCCCCAGATGTTGCAGAGATGCTTGCCATTCGTTGGGCTCTTTCTTTAGCCAAAGACCTCAAACTTACTGGAGCGTTTATTTAGTCTGACTCCAGTTTAGCTGTGGATTGTATTAATAATGTTACTGTTAATGCTATTTTGGAGCCTTTAGCTGCAGACTGTCGTACTCTCCTTTACAATTTTTTCGTAGCTTCTGTGATGTTCATTAGTAAGTCTTTGAATTTAGATGCACATAACTTTGTTGGTTTGGGTAAATCTGTAGGGTCGAAGACTTGGATTGAAGGCTACTCCCTTGTGGAGCCAACTTTATTTTCTCGCCTTTCTAACCTCACTTAATAAAATGTTTCTTTTCGTAAAAAAAAAAAAAAACATAGTCATTCTTCTTATATTTTACCATATGTGTTATTAATAGTTTTGTGAGTGCTTTCGCAAAAGTATGGTATCTCATGTTTATCGTGACACTTTTGGCCAATTAACGAAAAAATAAAAATAAAAATCATTATCTTGTAATTACTTTTAAAAAATTACGTTGACATATATATCACTAATATTGTGGTTTAAAATTCTTTAACTTAAATTATATATTAATTCTTAGAATATCATATATGCCTCCATAAACCTTTGAATTGCATCATAATTCTGATTATGTGACGTGATCCCAAAACCTCCATATCTATAATCCACAATCTTCTACTGGTGTGTCACCTAACTAAACCAACATGAATCACTGATTATTGCAACTTTGCACAAGTTTCCAAATTTTTTTCTCTATTCAAAGTAGTTTAAATGATCACAATTGATAGTTACAGAGAATCATTCAATTACAAAGTAGCAAATTTGAATTCGTGATATTCCACTTATTCAATCTTTAAAGAGATTTGGAATTTCCAAAGTTGAAATAGTTTGGAATGGTAGCTAGTAAGTGGGTTACTACATTAGTGAAATAAAAGGATTTGGTAGTTCAATTAGACAAGAAAAGAAACATCTTAGAAGATAAACAACCTCTACCAAACATTTCATGCACTTACAATAGTCAACGTAGTTGTTTCAACTGCCATATTTCTTCTCAATCATCACAAAAACCTTCCTTCTTAAAACCTCGCTCATCATCACCCACATAGTAATCAAATCCCAACAATGGCATCTTGCTTGAACCCACAAATCAATGAAGATGACTCTCCCATACTCTTCTCAACTTCTTATTCCCCTCAAGACTCCATTAGTCCTTCTTCTTCTTTCTACCATTCACCATCACCACAAACTTCATTCAAACTTTCTATCAAAAACCTTACCTATACTTTACACCCTTATAACACCAACATTCCCTTTTCATTTTATCACCTTACTCAAAAACCACATCCTATAAACATACTCAAATCTGTCTCTTTTGTTGCCAGAACTTCCGAGATTGTCGCCGTTGTTGGTCCTAGTGGCACAGGGAAATCAACCCTTCTCCGAATAATTGCGGGGAGGGTAAAAGACAGAGACTTTGATTCAAAAACTATCTCAATCAATGATCACCCTATGAGTACTCCTTCTCAGTTAAGAAAAATATGTGGCTTTGTGTCACAAGAAGACAACTTGTTTCCACTTTTAACTGTGAAAGAAACATTGCTTTTTAGTGCAAAGTTTAGGCTAAAACAAATGACACCAAAAGAAAGAGAATTGAGAGTAGAAAACTTAATGCAAGAATTAGGCCTTTTTCATGTTGCTGATAGTTTTGTTGGTGATGAAGAAAATAGAGGTGTATCTGGTGGTGAAAAGAAAAGGGTATCAATTGGTGTTGATATGATTCATAATCCACCAATTTTAGTCTTAGATGAACCAACATCAGGACTTGATAGCACCTCAGCATTTCATGTGATTGAGCTCCTTTCATCAATGGTTAAATCAAAGCAAAGGATAGTGATTCTTTCAATTCATCAACCTAGTTATAGAATATTGCAGTATATTTCCAAGTTCTTGATTCTTTCTCATGGTTCAGTTGTTCACAATGGTAGTTTGGAATCACTAGAGGAAACAATATCTAATTTGGGATTTCAAATTCCATTACAGCTTAATCCTTTAGAATTTTCCATGGAAATTATACAAAGTTTAGAAGATTCTAGAAGTTCCATCATCGACGATAAAAACGAAACTTCCTTTCCAAGTTTAGTCTGGCAAGAGGAAGAAAAGGGTGGAAGTGGACTTTTCCAAACACAAAATGAAAGGGAAAGTTTTGGAAATCCTTGTTATGTAAACTTGATGGAGATATTATTTCTGTCTTCAAGATTTTGGAAGATTATTTATAGAACAAAGCAACTATTTTTAGCAAGAACAATGCAAGCGTTAGTTGGTGGATTTAGTTTAGGAAGTGTTTACATAGAGGTAAGAAAAGATGCAGATGGAATTGCAGAAAGGTTAGGTCTATTTGCATTTAGTCTCAGTTTTCTCTTGTCTTCAACAGTTGAAGCACTTCCAATATACCTTCAAGAAAGAACTGTTGTAATGAAAGAAGCATCAAGAGGAGCTTATAGAATTTCTTCTTACATGATAGCCAACACTGTTGTTTTCCTTCCTTTTCTGTTTGTAGTTTCTGTACTTTTTGCTGTACCTGTTTATTGGATTGTAGGACTCAATCCTTCGATCGGTTCTTTCAGTTTTTTCACTTTTGTGGTTTGGCTCATTGTGCTGATGGCGAGTTCTTTAGTACTCTTTTTAAGTTCTGTGTCTCCTGATTTCATTTCAGGAAACTCACTTATTTGCACTGTTCTTGGAGCCTTCTTTTTATTCTCTGGATATTTTATTCCAAAAGAGAGTATTCCAAAATATTGGCTTTTTATGTATTATGTGTCACTTTATAGGTACCCTTTGGATGCACTTCTAACAAATGAGTATTGGACTGTTGGAAATGAGTGTTTTTCACAACAAGGGTCTTCATCATCAAAGTGTTTGGTTACTGGACTTGATGTGTTGAAAAGTAGAGGAATTGAAAAGGATAATAGGTGGATGAATGTCGGAATAATGGTTGGATTCTTTGTGTTCTATCGTTTGCTTTGTTGGCTCATACTTGCTCGAAAAGCCTCCAAGACAACAATATAACAACATAGGCATTCAAATTTCAAGTTTCTTAGGCTATTGTTTGTACGATATTATTATTTATAGAGTTATGCTATGAACAGATTACGACTAATATACTTCAACTTCAAATCATTTAGAATCTATACCATTTTTGCAGATCAGAAACAGATACAGATATAGATAAAGATAAAGATAAAGCATAATTGTTTAATTTTATTCCTATGGATTTGTGTTTTTAGAAGATTTGGATGATCTTGTAGTCAAAGAAGGCTTCATCTTGACAATGTGTTCATCACTGGCTCCCATTTTCTTAGCGTAACGACTGGCTTCAAAGAACCTTTTAACCGATTCATCCATGTAATTCTTTCCTTGCTTAACAGTCATGTCTTTCCCTATTGTATTCGGATAACTAGTGAATATATTGTCTCCTTTAAGAACAGCTGTTAGTTGAATCAACTCCTGCTGAAATTCACTCAGTTTCGCGTCTTCATTAGCTTCTCCTTTCCTTAACTTTACCGGTGCTTGAAGTTGCACTGCATCAAAATAACACAAACAAGAATCAACAAAGTGCAAAACATGCTCCGAAAGTTTAATTCATATACACGATCAATGTATTAAATATTTTCTACGAGAATGAGGAACTGACCTGGGCAATCAGTCCTGGGTTGTTTCCTGGTTTGAACAATACCTTCAAAGGTTCCAGCCCATTGATCTCTCTTGGTAAGAAAATTAGGCAAATTGAAGATTTTCTTAACTGTTGCGGAAATGGATGAGTGTTCATATTCTGATGTAGGAGTTGGTGATCCGTTTGGCCCATGAATAACTGCATCAACATAAAAATAAAAATAAAAAGAATTTCCTGTGATAGACGAAAACTACGACACCAAAAAAACTATTAACAAGTGTCAGACGAAAACTACAACACCAAAAAAACTATTAACAAGTGTCTGAATTTTCATATTCTACTTTTTTTTCACCCCATCGGTCTTGGACGATAGAACCAAGAAATTTCCTCCCTACTTTGCAAATTGTCCATAAGTTGGAGCTTGGACAAAGCCAACTAAGGGGACATATTATTTATTATAAGAAACTTACTCAAACATTCCAAGATACATTTCCTTCACATTGACACCTTCTACTTCAGAGTATATCTTAATTTATACAAATAAAACAAAACATAAATATCTCGTGAGGTGGTCAAACAAATCTTGAACTAAAATCTGATACCATTAAATAATTAGAGTTTGATCTAACTCATCTTACAACTATTAAATAATTAGAGTTTGATCTAACTCATCTTACAAACTGTCTGAGAATAATTATTATAATAAATTAAAATGACACTAGCTCAAGACTTCAAGTTAAGACACAAAATCCAGTTCAAGCATTAGATGAACCCTTTGTGTAACTTGAAACATGAGTCAAGAAATTCATAATTCACTTGCATTATTGCTACCCCACAACTAGTCTTCCTTAAAACATTAAGCAACTGATTTGCTTGTACATTATGCAGATATGCACGAGAAAAGTGGCATGATATTAAACCACTTTTCACATGTTGCACTTTGACAACAGGGGACTGAAACTCAAAAGTATATGGTCCCACCACTGCATAGTACATTATACAAATTTGTCCATTTATAAAAAAGTGTCAAAACTAGATGGCTACGTGTGTGAGTGAGAAGAAGTCCATTTATAAACTATTGTCAAAACTAGATGGCTACGTGTGTGAGTGAGAAGAAAAGAGTTAGATAGGGTATGGGTGAGTGCAATTTTTTATTTTGCAAAAGCAAAATGAATGCATTTTAATAAAATTAAAAGCACTGGATATGGGTGTGCAATTAATCACATGAGGTCAATTGCCAAGATGATAAGATGTAAACCAACTGCCAAGATGATAAGATGTAAAGAAAAAAAAAATTTTCATTTTATAAATCATGTATATCTACACACAAAAGCTCCGACTAATTGTTTCATTAAGCCAGTTTAATTAATTAATTAATATATATATATATATATATATATATATATATATATATATATATATATATATATATATATATATATATATATATATATATATATAGAGAGAGAGAGAGAGAGAGAGAGAGAGAGAGAGAGAGAGAGATGAACAAAATCATACCCGTGCCCTTTTCAATCCAAGGTGAGATAGCAATAGTAGGAACCCTTACTCCCAACCTATTAAAAGTAAAATTAAATGGCTCAGGCCCCACAATTCCATCAGGACTAGGCACCCCACGAACAGGCGTAGCCACATGATCATAAAACCCACCATGTTCATCATACGTAATCAAAAACAGAGTTTCGTTCCACTGCGGGCTACCCCTCAGCGTCTCATACACCTCCTTCACAAACTTCTGTCCTTGATAAACATCGTGCGATGGATGATCATCATTTCCCGGAAACAGCTTAGTGTCTGTGTACCGTTGTTCCACCACAACATAATTCGGTAACTTTCCATTTTTAGCGTCATTCTTAAACGACAAGTCGTATGGGTGAAATTTTAATGTGTACTTGAGTTTCCTTAAGTTTCGGTAGAACAGTGTTGCGGGAAGGTCTTGGTAATATATTCCGAAGTTGTGACCGTTGTCGTGAAGACTGTCGAAAATGGTTTGCTGTGGATAGCCTTTGGCTAGCAAGGACGCGACGTTGCTGGTGGCGCCGCCGGATGTTGCTGAGTGGATGTAGAGTCGATTAGGCTGAGTTGAAGCTGGCACGGAGGCAAACCACCTACCAACATATCAAAGTTACAAGGCCCTCTTAAACGTCTGGAAGTCGTGTAGGTTTACTATAATTTAAATGCCTTTTTATGATTTAAAAATAATAAATATTTTGCAAGGCTCTTTTAAACTATAGTTTAATGGTGAAAATTTTGAGGATAGTACAATCACAAAAATATTGTCGATAGATTCTTACACATTGTTTTATTGTTTTGCATTACTATTTAATTACTTAAAATAAATAATGCATAATATTAACAAATAAGTGAAATAGATCATGTATATATTGTAATGCGTATTCAAATAAAAAATAAACAAAGTAGAATTTTGTAGTTAGTATAACAAAAAAAAACAATAAAAATTAGAAAAATAGTGTTATAATATTAAATTATCTACGTACATTTTATGATGCTTCAAAATTAATAATTGAAAACTATTGGTAAAGAATGACTTAATAATAATAATAATAAGAAAAATATGTATAATATTTTTTTATATCCTTTATAGTAATTAATTGTTATACTTATAATTATAAAAGATCAATTATAATCAATATTATGGGTAAGTTAATAGAGCATAAAAAATTATAAGTAAAATAAGTTAGTTAACAATAGTAAATAGAGAGATTAGAATAATTAAAAAATTATACAAAATACAAAATCTGTAATTTAATCTCAAAATTTAGTAGAGAAATATAAAGAGATATTATAAAATTATATAATAATATAATTAATAAATAATATATATATATATATATATATATATATATATATATATATATATATATATATATATATATATATATATATATATATATATATATATATATATATATATATATATATATATATATATATATATATATATATATATATATATATATATATATATATATATATATATATTCCAACCGGAGTTAATTAGCAAATTTATTATCATACACATTTTTAAAAATGTTTTATCCATTCAGTTGAGATTTTTACACAAATTTAAAAATTAACTATTTCACATAAGTTAAAAAAAAATTGCATACATAAACTAGAGAAGAATATTTGTATTAAAGTATTTTTATTAAATATTAATAGATTTAAAGTTATTATAAATATAAAGTAAAATAAAATAATTTTGGACCGATAAAAAATATTATTTAAAGAGTATAATTAAAAAAAAAATAATTAATATTAAAATATTGTAAATTAAAATGTGTCGTGATTTTGGAGATTTTTTTTTTAAATGAGCCATTCATTCGTTGGAGAATGGAGAAAGTAGAATGATAGGCTGTATTTTTTCTAAATGGTAAAGCATGCAAAAAAAACTTGCAGACAAATTATCGCATCAATTTCATTTCTGTTCTCAAATTGATACTCTAGAGTAAAGTATACATCAAGATATCTTATAAAGAAATGTAAATATTGTCGGTGACATTTAATAAAGCAGAAAAAGTTAACGAGGCACTCTCCATGTGTATATCAATAAACTTCTTATCGCGTCTTTCAAGCAACAACAAAATTAATTTAATTTTTTGAAGCAACACCTTCATAAAAAAAATCCTCTTAGTTCGTAAAAATAATTTGAGAACAATCCTCCTCCTCCTTCATAAAAAAAATTCCTCCTCTAAATTATTTGAGTGCATTACACTCGAATTAGAAATAAATAAAAAATAAAAATATCTAACTTTTTTTTATAATTTAAACACTGGCACTAAAATAATTGATCTGAAACAAGAGAAGAGAAGAATAGAAAATAAATAATTCAGCGTACCTATCAAAAACAGCAAACTCAGACACAAGTGTCTTATAAACCGAAACCATGTCTGGTTCAAATCCATTCATCACATCCTGCGACATAGTTGTTGTATTATCCATGGAATAAGCTTGTTGAGCGAATCCATTCATCGGAGCCGGATTAGCTGACGTGTCCTCCGACCCGAATATCTGCTCCCTAATTGCCTGGAACGAGTGACCCGGATCCGGGTCAACATACTGCGCTTGATTCTTGAAGAATATTCGCTTGGAATTCGGGTCGGTTACCGATAATGGAGTTGACTCCGACCCCGTTACGCCATTTATTTCTGGGTTTAGTTTCTTCATCCAACCAAGCATGTGGTCGAATGAGCGATTCTCCATTACTAAAACCACCACGGTTTTTATTGGGTTGGTAATTGCATGGGAATTCAGAAGCAAATGGGTGAGAATTGCGAAGAAAAATAAGAGTGTACAGGAACTTTTTCGAGTACCCATTTTTTCAGAAAGAGAGAATTTGATTTCGTGAGGTTGATTAAGAAAAGAAAGTACCCTATGAGATTGCGAGGTGTTGATTACGTAGAAAGTAATCAATGAATGCAATTTGGCGAAAGATTTTTCTTTCACTTCTGGAATTTCTGTTTGTCTTTGTCAAGAGTGAATCACCCCTTTCGCTAACATTTTTTGAATATTTAGAAAAAAAATATACACACACTTTATTAGTGTTATATATATATATATATATATATATATATATATATATATATATATATATATATATATATATATATATATATATATATATATATATATATATATATATATATATATATATATATTGCAAATACAAATGAATATGGCCAAAAATTTGATTCATATTATAATGCTGTCAATGTGCTTATTATTGTGGTTAATTTCTTTTCCTATTTTTTGTTTGGGCTAATCCAAACTATTGAATACAAAAATGGCAAACTCGTTAAACAAAAAACTAAATCCAAATCTTTTCTTTGTTTGTGCTGGTATTTAATTTTTTTTCTATTTTTTTAATGATCCGACTATTTTAAGAAAGAATAGATTTTTTTAATTAAATAAATTGACTATTAATTATTTTACAATTTTTTTATGCAAAACAAAATTATTTTACAATATTTTAACTTTTTAAACTTATTAATATTTTAATGTAATTATTTTAAAGTGATTTGAATTTTGATAGATACAAATAATTCTTGATCTCTAGATGTTGAAATTGATCTCTAGATTATTCGGCCTTAAAAATTGGCAACTTGGATTATTCGGCCTTAAAAGTTGGCAACTTGGTTTTCTAAAACGTGATATATTTTAGATTTAATTATAGTTTTTGTCCTCATATTTTATATGATTTACATAATTGACATCCCTATTTTAAATTTAAATAATTTAATCTTTTATTTTAAATTTATAAGTTGTAGCCCGATCTCATACTTTGAAATTAAAATTAATGATGTTTTTATTTTTTAAAAGACGAGTTATTTATGAAACATGACAAGTCATTCATATATAAATATATTGTTGAACTGTATAGATAAAAATATATGTTAAAAACAAACATCTTATCAATTGTCTAACAAAAACATGAGACTGAGACTAAAATTATATGAATTTAAAATAAGATGATCAAAACTATTTATATTTAAAATAGGAGGATTGATTTCGTGAATCGGACAAAATCCAGGGACTAAAACTATAATTTAATCTTTATTTTATCATAAATATGTTTTTGTGTAACACAAGAGACAATCTAGTTTGGTGAAAGGTTATACTCCTTTTTTTTAAGGACTCTTATTCAAGATATATTCAAATTAAAGACTTTATTTGCAAATATATTTGGTTATAAAGTAAAACACATATAAAATTTTATATGAAATTACAAGTTCTTCTAGTCTTGGAACTTAACGAAGATTAAAGAAGTGAGATCCACAACGGGTTACAGTGGTTTGAGTTTCCGATGCACTGGAATAAGGACTGATATGCAAAGTTGACACGTCAAAATAAAATTTGAATGGGAAAATGAATTGTACCTCGAGAGTGACGCACATTCTCCTTTAAATATGATAGATGGTTGGCAATCGCAGAAGCAAAACATAAAAACACGAGAGCTTGGAAGCATCTCAATGAATTAAGCCACGTGAAATGGTACATGAGGTTACCATGAGATTGATTTCTTCTAGTGCAAGTCACTTACAAGAAAACCAAAGTCACTTTAAACAAAGAAATTTAAAAGCACATTACTTAGATTTTCTTAACAATGCATAATTGACTTCATGATGATTCAATAAGATTAATACACCTAAGCTTATACATTAATTCAATATGAGTAAGGTCTAAACAATATGGTATACAATCAATGCAATCATGCAATAATGCAACAACAAATATGAATGAAGGCTTGTAAAATAAAAAGAGATATGGAAAGGGAAAGATACACATAGATATATAATGCTTAGACATTTGTCCTCGATTTGTCTACATGCACTCTTCAATGAATGGTGACATTAGAACATAATCACGGTCTTCCACTATGTTGATAAAATGATTACATCATTTTGATTGCAAAGAAATATCACACGATAATTCCCTCTGATGATGCAAATACTAAACAGCTAAGAAAAATAAGATCCCTCAAGATATTGATCCAATAATCTCTTTACCCATAATAACCCACTCCAAGTATTCGTATGTGGAGATCCCCCTGATCCCACCAATTTCTTGTCTGTGCGATTGCCATTAATCGTATATTGGACAACTCCTAACTTTACCTATAAGCAATCTTTCTCTAACGCCACCAAAGAATGACAACTTCTAACTCCTCCTTACAGACCGTTGATACTTGATATTGCCAAAGTTTTCCTTGGAATAATTTGGAAACACTCTTCTTGATAGATAAAAAAAATCAATGTCAAACTGCACTCAAGAAACGATACCTGCACCTGTTACATAAAAAACCATCTACACACAAAAACATTAGATACCCTAATGTACCACTAGTCTCCCTTACACTCAATCTTTAGAGGAGGATCCACAATCAAATAAAAAATACTAAGGAGGAAGATGGTGAACAGCTCTAGATAATCTCAACCAACCACTGACATTACGATGTGTTAGTAAAGTAATTCAGTTTTGGTGAATGAAAAACATACACACAAGGTTCAATCAAGTTTCTAGATAAGTGGGTCTTGGTTATTAGTTGTTATCAAGAGCTTGATCAATTATAATAATATTGATCAACTCATTCTCTAATTCACTCAAAGACAACAACCAAATTGCACAAGAACAAGATGCAACAAAAAGAATAAAGAATAGACATGGATTCAATATCAAAAGATTATTTTGAGAAGAAGAGAGAAACATGGTGTAAAAATAAACACCCTAACAAGAGAAGACAAAAGTCACAATTTTTCCTCTATGGATTACACCATAGATTTCACACACTTGTTACTTTCACCAAAAGAAACAAATATTTGAATAAGTTATGGAAATTTTGGCTTTTATAAGTTTGATTTGAATCAAGAGGGATTTGTGATTCGAATCAATCGGGGCTGCCCCAAAAGGGAGTTTTTCAAAGTTAATGATTCAAATCATTATTTGCACTTGGTTTGAATCAAATGAGGTTATGATTCGAATCATGTTCAATTTTTTATTCGAAACATTTGATCCAGAAGTGAGTTCAAATTTTCAACAAGTGAGTGATTCGGGTGGAATATAATATATGATTCGAATCAAATACTAAGATATCCAAATTCAAATGTTCTAACTTGTGATTCAAGATACTCGTGTGAAAATGACAAAATAGTAATTTCATAGGCTAAAAAAGGAAATACCAAAAAGGATCAAATAAAAATAATCATGAAATGTAGAGGGTTCTCAATGGTACAATTTAGTAGTCGAAGCGATTACAATCAAATGGAAATGAATAGTACAATCACAAAAATGAATTTAGATAACATCCAAATTACAAATATTCAATCAAACAATAATCAAATTATTAAAACATTAAAACACAAATGATACTTAAAGCATGTAAACGATACCAAATGATACTATGCGCTTTCAATCTCCCCCTTTTTTATGTTTGGTAAATCTTTGAGATTATTGTTGATGAATTAATCCATAACGACATTTGGAATTTTATGTAACATAGTCAATCTGGTGACCAGAGTACAATACATTCTTTGAGTCTTAAAAGCTATAAGGCCCCACTGCATTAAACACTTAATGCACGTAAATATTGACAATATCTCAACCATGTATCCCTGTCGTAGTGGGAAAAAGTTATTGAGATTAAACTATTGATTAACTTAACTCAGAAAAGCAAGAGTCGCCACCAAACTTTATTGTTTCCAGAGGTTGAACAAAACCCACAAAAAGCAACAAAAAAACTAAAAAAAGAGAGATCCGGATACAGGGGTTGGTTATGAAAGGGCAATGTATTACCACCCATCACATCTGTTGTACTCATCAGGAACTACTTGCAAATATGTGTTTATAAAAGTTGGGTTGTTTGTTGATTGATTTTAATTGAAAAGAAATTTTGTCGTATTTGAGTGGAAAACTCAACTTACTATCCACAAGTATGAGGAAATGAGCATTTGCATCATCTTGATATGGAAAATTTTACTTGTCATTTGGTTCGTAGTAAAGGCTTTGATTTATCAGTACTCAAGTGACCAGGTTCATATGGATTTATTGATTCAAGGCACCAGTTCATTCCCAGTTTAGGATTAATTCAAAATTGATTTATTGATTCAGAATTTTAATTCAATCCATTCCAAGTTCAAGATTGGTCTGTGGTTCAAGGCTATAACTCATTCAAAGTTCAAGGTTGATTCGTTTTTAGCATTAGTTCTCAAAGGTTGATTCATGATGGATTTTATTTTTCAAGGATCGATTCAAGTTTTATTTCACTTCAAGTGAAAGAATTCAAAAGGGTGGAATTTGGATAATGGGATTTTTGATCAACATGGAAAATTCAAGTCTTAATCACCATGGTCAAGTTTTTTTTCAAGCATTGTTCAAGAAGTGAGGTGCAAATATCATTTCAAAGCCCATTTCTATTTTACAAAAGAAAAGCCCATTTTCATTACCAAAATTCCACAAAATATGACATGATTGTCAAAAAAAGAAAAGAAAGCCCAAGTTACATTTTGGTCCAAGTCCATTACATTTTACAAACCATTATAACCAATAATAGAAAAAAAGGGAAACAAGCTCTTTCATGAGCTATACGACCATGCTACATCTTCCTCAAGCAAAAAAAATGCCAAGTTGATACTCCAAGTCTCTCCCAAGCATACAAGCCAACATATCAAAACACGCGATTTACAAGCAGAACGATTTCAGCTACCAAGCCATTTTCAGCTTCAATAATCACACAAGCTTGCACATACAAGCCAATATTTCATGAGCCTAACATTAGATTCAATTTTACAAACAAGCCACTTAAAACTCCAAGTTTCACAATG